GTGGCGGGTTCGAATCCCCAGCCCGGGCCCGCCAAACAACAATGATGGCTGCAACCAAAAAATGGCCAGGCGTTGTGGCGGGCGCCTGTGGTCCCTGCTACTTGGGAGGCGGAGGCAGGAGACTCGCTTGAGCCCAGGAGTTGGAGGTTGCTGTGAGCTGTAACGCCACTGCACTCTACCCAGGGGGACAGCTTGAGGCTCTGTCTCAAAAAAAAGAAAAGCCAGACGTCTAGATTTTTCCTACGAAGCTCCCAACTTTAAATATCAGCAACATACTCATGTTTTTCTATAACACTGGGCAGACAAAACAAATTTATAGTCACCCATTTGTGACCTCTAAGGTCAGCAAAGATTGAAACCCATCTCCGCCTTCAGGGAGCTTACTGCTAGTGCAGGGGCTTGTTTTTAGAAGGCGGTAGACATAACAGACAATGGGAGCGCAGGAAGAGTGTCTCAGTGTGACTAAAGTCGGGGTAGACTTCATGGAAGGGTGTTTGAAGTGAGAATTGAAAGATCTCAAACAAGGCAGGAGAGGCATCCCAAGCAGAGAGAATGGCACATGTAGAGGTATGGCGGTGCGAGTGATCATGATGTTCTGGGGGCTGTAGCCAGAGTACCAGGAAACAGACCACTAAGGACATCATGGTGACAGGGAAGAAAGTTGCCTGTTCTCAGCTGTCCTTAACCTGGTTGTCGGAATTAGTTGACGTTCATCAGTGCAGTGACTAAAGTGCCCTCGAGGTGGCGCGAGGGAGCAGGGAGCCAAGCCTCCAGTTACCTCTGTTCAGATCTGGGGCAGGAGGATTTTCTAAGTCTGGCTGGTGCTGGCACCAGGGGGAAAGCTGCTGAGAAATCCAACCCCCCAGCCCCACCCTGGCCAATGGTTCCCTCTCTGGAATTTGGCGCAGTTCCCAGTCGTGTGCATTGAAAGGAAAATGAGGGTGGCTGCCTGAAATGCCACCCAGATACAAACTCTAGCCAACCAGCCAGCTCCTAGCCAAGCTGGAGGGGTCCCGGCTGGGTGTGGCCTGCTAGAAAGGTAGGAAAAAATGCTCTAAGCAGCCTAGCTTTCCTCAGGTAAGAAGACTCTGGAAAACTCTTTTGGAAACACAATGACATATGTCAAAAAGAATTTCAAAGCCTGGCAGTGCCCTTAGCTCAGTGGGTACGGTGCCGGCCACATACACCCAGGCTGGCAGGTTCGAACCTGGCCTGGGCCAGCTAACCAA